TATATATATATATATATATATATATATATATATATATATATATAAATGACTGTGTATTTATATATATATATATATATATATAAATGACTGTGTATTTATATATATATATATATATATATATATATATATATATATATATATATATATATAAATTCAATAAATTTATTGATTTATTGAAACATTACTTATGAAGGTAGGTTCAGTTTTCTTTTTTACGGGCATTTGATAGGCAGCAGTTAGACGTTCGTCACAAAGAGGAACGTTGGGTCGGGGTCGGTCTAATAGCTCAGAGTTTTTTTTAGACACTACAGCATTACATTCTGGAAATCTGAAACAAAATGCACAACAAATCTCCCAAACAGAAAAGGGCACCTCGCCTTCACCTTTCCATGATGAATAGGTTAAGGAACGCTGTTTACAGGATTTTGTCTCACTCAGTCCTTGAGCTGTCCTGTTTTAGGAGATGTGTTATTTATTAAGCCACTTAAAACTGACCTATGAATCATCTGTTCATTTATGCTCTTAACGTGCCTCATACTGGGTTGGCTCAGAGGAATCGTTTGTCTCTCAAGGAAAAAAAGCAACAAGAAAAAATGAGTTGAACTTCATGTACTTTATAACAAGCAGTAGAAGTAAAAGACAAGCTATTTTGTTGTAATTCTCACTGATGTAACAAACCAAGAAAAAATATATGATAATTTACAGATTTAAGTTTTTGGTTTTTGTCACACTTTAAACGTTTAGGGGTCAATAAGTACATTTTTAGATAAAGCTCATCAAACCTTCTAGCATCCATTCAGATTGTGGGAAATGAAGGAATTTGTCCTGAGTAATGTACACAATCGGTATTCTGTGGACAGTGACAGTCTTGAGATAATGTCTCCTTTTCGTAGGACATCTAGCCAAGAGGCCCATCAGCATGCGATATTACAGTTATGTTTTCAAAAATGTCCACAGAACACAAATGACCCCTACCTCTGGTTGTTGCTATTGTTCAGTTCTCCAGTTCTGTTTTTTAACTAGAACCGCCCAGGATGTGTTTGACAGACAGCTGGTTTAGTTCTCTACTGCAGCTGCTGTTTGTGGAGAATGAAGCTGAAAGTGATGATGATGATTTTAGCTCATGTTTAAAATCCTAATGCCTTACAACTGGAGTTTCTCTTGAAGGGGTAAGAAAATAAGTTTACATTGTTAAAAGGTAAGAACAGTTGCTTCCAAGACAAGCAGATGCACCTTACTGAAACAGAAGTCATTACACATACCACGCCTTGAATGGCAAATCAAATAAAGGGGTGTGTTGGAGTCTGCTAATTCAATGATAAACTAAATTGTTCAAAATATTTTTTCTAATACAAAAAAAAACCTACATAAAAATACTCAGAATGTAGTAAGAAGTCCATTTCCAGCAAACTAATTAAAGTCAGATGCCAGCAGAGTTTAGAAGAGACAGAAAAGTAAATATCAGAACAGAATGATTCCCATGACTGCACTAAGTCTTTATGTTTAATAGTTCTGCTCTGCTTTTATCTATTACCAGTTTGTTGTTGTTTCCACAAAGTTGGACATAAAAGTAAACTACATCAGCTTACAGCCTTCACTTTAAATGCTCGCTCCTCTTCCCTCTGCTCTCTTGTAGCTTTTTAGAATTAGTCTCATTTACCAGCAACCTCATCTGCTGATCCTTTGGATTAAACGATTGGAAGCTGGGAGGATAGAATTTGTTTTGTATTCGTCTGGAAAACTGAGAAGCAGCACAAACAAGAACGTGTTTGTATTAAAGGCTTCTGTGAATGCAATCAGTGAGCTTTTAAAAAGCCCTTTGTGTCCAGCTTCAGGCACAGCAGTCAATGCCATCACTTTCTCCCGATTCTCTGCTTCTAAGGGAAATAGTAAAGCTGCAGGCCGGGCACTTTAGTTTGCTTGCTAATTTTCAAGATGAGTTGTCAAATGATTTAAAATTACATCTGGAAGAATCTGGTAGTGTCTGGCTCTGGACTTTGTTTTAACACATTAAAATGTATGTATTTAATCAATTATTATGCTAATATTGACAGTACAGACAACATCTTTTTGTTGATTACAACAGACCTGAGAGGAATAAAGATTAGACAGCAGGTAAAATAAGTATTGAACAATTTTTCATAGGAAACATACTGACATAAAATAACCCAAGTGATCCACATAGACAGTAGCCAAAACAAATGACTTCAGAGGTTAAGTGGAATGACGCAGAAAGTATTGAAAACATGCAGAAAGGGATGGGAAACCAAGACACCAGTTGAAATCTGGCAGGGATCAGAGAGCTGGTTCAGTCCAAACTGATGGCCTATCAACACATCATCTCTAGCTGTGCTTCCATTATACATGAAATTGGCACTAATTTGAATTATAAAAATAAATTTTTATAATTCAATTTTTATAAGGCATTAGGATTTTAAACATGAGCTAAAATCATCATCACTTTCAGCTTCATTCTCCACAGACAGCAGCTGCAGTACAGAACTAAACCAGCTGTCAAACACATCCTGGGCGGTTCTAGTTAAAAAAAGAACGCCAATTTTGAAAAAAACTAATTTTATGATTAAAAAAGTTTTCGTGTCAGTTTGACATGTTTTTTTTTTTTTTTTTTTTTTTTTTTTTTTTTTTTTTTGGCCATATTAAAATTGGTTTAATTTGCAAAACTTCAATGGAATCACTGTTGGCATCACAAATCACATGATCAACAGCTGGATGTTACTACTGGCGGAAAGGATGAAGAAGTGGACAGGAAGTGGTAGGAGGACGCTGACATGGCGTCTTTTAATGACTGACAGTTCCAACAAACTTATTCAGGTGGGATTTCAGTTCCTCTCTGTATTTAATGGAAACATGAAAGAGGCCCTGACAGTTACAAAATGGTATTTCTTTTCAACAGCAGAATATCGACAAAGTTTTGTAATGAAAACACAGTTACAATCAGGTGCTCTACATTCTATAAGGATTTAACTGATATTGCAATGAACTGATGGATGGATACTGACAGCTTTTATACAGAACATGAGGCGGTGTGTGAGTCGGCTGGTTTCAGTAATTCCTCCAACTGAAACTGTTCTCTGCAACTTTTACATAAATGTCAGTTTTCTTTTCTTGTATGTTTCCTTTATTGCCACTGTTTGGAAATGGTCACAGGAAGCAGAAGAGGCCCTCCAGGCTTGTTTTAAAGCAACTGATTGGACTACTCTCTGCCAGCCACATGGAGATGACATCAGTGCCATGACTGAGTGAGTGACTGACTGCAGAAAATCTTTCCTGCCAACAGCCATCACCATCTTTAATAGCTCTTTGAAGAATCTAAATTAATGAGTTACAACAACATTTAATTTCGTTTTGGGATTAATAAAGTAGTTTTGAATTTTGGTTTTCGACATTGTTTTGCTGGCTGGTGGCTGAATGGAGCTGCACCTTTTCATAATGCCCTTGGTGTTTCCCTCCTTTAGAAGGCACCAAAAAAACAAGAGCGTATGCTAACTTTACAACCTAAGATGGAGTTACACAGGCCAATTTTACTGCTGCCTATGCTTTTTCACTGATGACCAGTTAAATTTACTAAGGTGTGGGGATTAATCAGAAGTAATTATTTGTGCTGTAATCCATTTCACAGGTTAAAGAAACAATGATCATCATTTCATTTGAGCTCAGAGCTGCAGAACGTCTCCTGCTAAAAGAGTGAAAGTGTTTAAATTGTGAACACTGATAAGAACAGCTTGAATGAAACACACTTTGACCGACTGTGACAATGCGAAGCAGACTTGAAAAGCAAAGTCCTGCCTGTCCCTGAGGGGCCAATCCGAAGCCAGGGCGATAAGCCAAGTGGGCTGGGGAGGGGTCTGTGTGGAATATCAAACAGGGAGGTGTTTGCCCGCTTAATGGCTTTATGACAGAACCCCAAATTCATTCAGGTTCACTTTATTAACATATAGACGCCAAAGTCAGAAAAGCTTTCATCTGAAGGGAATCTGAGCACTCTGTGCATAAAGAATCTCTCAGCCTCTGCCTGCACAATTCACTGGAAGCAGCCTCAGACCAAAGGCGATAGCAAGGAGAGCTGAACCAAAGAGTTTTGCATAAAACGATACAAAAAAAAGTTAAATAGAAAAAAAGAGTTTTCAGATTTTAATTCACCTTGGAATTCATAGTTTGGATATGTGGCAGTAAAATTTATTTTCTTTTCATTTTCAATGAATAAATTTAGACACTCTCCTGTTTTTTCTTCACTGATTCTCCAGGGGGCGCTATATTTGAGGCTTAACTAGCAAAAAGTCTAACAGCTTAATGACATTTAACTTTACTCTTAGGTCATAGTGATACAATTCTGGGTTTTTAATTACATTAGCATCATATCAGCAGATGCATAATCAAAAAATAAAAAGTGAACTCTTATTTTGCTACTATTGTAGGTAGAGAAAAGAAACTGAAATTTTGAGATTAATTTCAGAAATTTTGTTGAAAATGTCTTGGAAATTAAAAAGCTACAAAAATGAAGAATTTACAAGGACAAAATCTTAAATTCTTTTGAAAATAAATGTGGGAATTTCTATGTTTTAAAAGTCTAAAATTTTTGACTTTTCAAACTCAAATTTCATAGTTTAATCACAGAATGATGATGATGTCTTTTGTTTATATTTGTTTCGAGGCTGGAGATGCCGCTACTGACGATGCCCTCTGTCAGCTTCCACAGGCGTTTTCAATCAGTTGCTGTGGCGTGAAACCCAGAACTGGAAATAAAAAGAGCAGGTAATCAAGGAAAAAAAGGAGAGAGCGAGAAGTAAGGAAAGAAAGGAAGAAATGGACAGAGTCTGGGCAGAGGGCTGCCTGAACATGCTGATCAGCCGAGTAGCCAGCTAGGAGCACAAAAGCGAGGGCCACAAACTGCATCTAATCCAGGAGACGTGGAGTCAGCTCCGGTGGATCACGCATAGCTGGGAGGTGCGTGGAGCTCACCAGGTCTGGTAACAAGGATGGAGGACTGAGTGTTGGGAATCGCTGGAGGTCGAAGCCCTGAGGAACACCAACCATGGAGGATGAAGCACTGAGTGACTGCTGGAGAGAGAGCACCAAAGGATCGAGCTGCAAAAAAAATCTACAAATGCAAAAAATCTGCAAACCAAAGGATATACAAATATTTTGAACAGTGTGGATGTATTCAACCTCTTAGGTCTGTTAGAGTTTAATTCTTTTAGGATTGTCGAAACCAGTCTGCACATAAACAGCCACACCCACATAACAAAATCAGGATCAAAACTGCCTGTATGAGAAGCAGAGAAATGAGAAACTATCCAAGAACTCGCCACGTTTGGGAACCACAGAGCCAAAAAGCAGCCACTGAGTGATGCCCAAACCGGCAGGTGGAAAACTGTGGAATACTAAACACCAATTCAAGCTGTCAATTCCATCTGACAGCTCAAAACAGATTGGATGAATTTAGCTGAGAGCTATGCTCAATCCTGACTGATCTCAGGTGTTTTAGCAGCATCTGGGAGATCTTCATCTGACTGACTGTGTGCCAGAAGCGGGGAGAAGAATTTGCATTTGAAAAAGAACCTGATTGCTTTTTTTCACACACAGATTTCATAGCAGCTGCGTGTACCTTTCTCATTCTGCACATTGGCGTTCAAACAGAATACTGATCATATACAACACCGACAATGGACTGGTTAGAATCACTGTAGAAATGGGCCCATATACTCTAAGCAGAGCTTGTACGGAATGAAAATCCATCTTTGTCCTGTAGTTTCTAGTTTGGGCCTAAACACCGTTGCATGTGTAAATACGCCTAAAATCCAATTCTATGAAAGACGAACCATCAAATAAATGAACCATTTCTAATAAGTGACTAGATGCATAATGAGAATTATGTCACCAGCTCATTAATTCCTACAAAAATTGTGGTCTATACAGAATCGCTTAAGTATTAGTAAGAACCTGATGACTTTTTTGCATGTATTTTGATCCTATGGCCCTGACCTTTAAAATGTTTGTTGGAGGTAGTTGACTTATGGAGTTAAATACAGCAGTTTACAGCTTTATTTAGATTTTTTAAAAAAAAGTTTTTAATGTTCTACCACTTTGAGATACTTATTTAAATGAAAGGTTTTATTATCATCATCATGGTAGTTATTATACCTCCAACATCATGGCTTTCAGCTTCATCTTTCTTCTCTCCTACACTCCATAGCAGCCAGCAGCACACATAAAATCCTTATTTAAAAAAGGCCACTTTGTAGTCAACCATGGACGCAATCTTTATAAATTGCGTGTAACACGCCCACTAATTGCAGGTGCAATTTTTTTGCACCAGCAATTTTGTACTCCTTAGTTGGAATTGTTTTAGCCTGGCCATTGCCTTCTTACGCAATTTTGCTCAATTTCATCTCCCTTCAATTCTCTCCTGGGACTTTCTTCTATTGACCTGGATTTCTCTAGTAAAATTTCAACCAGGCCAATCAGCGAACAGATTGAGAAGTAGTAAACGATGACAATGATTATCAGCTCTACTTCGGAATTGTAGCAGCGAAGGAAGCTGGCCACAGACTTAACTGTCCATGATGGCCACCTTTCTAAATATTGAATCAGCTTCAACAGCCATCTGGCTTGGCTTGGTGCTTCTTTCTTCGCAGTGGAGGATGATTTTTCTCAGTACAGACGATTTCCGGGAAGCTTCAGAACGTCAAACCATTATATACATGGACAAACATCGGAGATTAGGTAACATTGGGAAAACGTTAGCATATGTCCAACTGTTCAACTCCAGGAAGCAATCGTACCTCAATAGCTGAGAGCTCAGACTCTGTAGAAAAAGTAATTGTTTTTTACCAGACTAGAATATTTTAACATCAGGCCCTTGATGTGTAATTTCAACTCCTTTTGGATTAAAGAAAGTATGAATAATTGTTACATATTAGTGTAACGCCGGACTCAGAAAAATAATAAGTTTGATGTTATGGACCAGTTGTTAGGCTCAGCAGAATTACAACAAGAACTAATGTGAGTGTGAAATGAATTGGCTAGAGGCAAGAAATGAGTTAAACAAATATATATATTATTTAGTAGAAAAGATTAAAATAGAATAGTTCAAAAGTCACAGTTAGTAAAAACATATCAAGAATAACAAAAATAAAGCTGGCATATAAAGGTAAACCCTAGTCCTACTGAGCTCAATGCTTCATTTAGTAGTAGAGTCGTCGAGTCAAATTGTGCTTCGTTATTCAGTTCCTTTTTTCATCCGGTGTCTGTTCTGTTACCACTATGCTCCCGCTGGAGAAAATATGGAAGTTTCCCAGTGAGTTGTTAGTTATTCTCTGGGCACAGGCTCGCATCTCCATCCGGATAAAATCCAGAAGTCAAATCTAGCCAAAGTACAAAAAATCTAGCCAAGGTGAGGTATTAGCAGACACAGCAACCAATACAGCAACGAGCAGCGACACGGTTTCTCTGGGTCGCGCTTAAGATGTCTCATCAATTTCAGCCCATTTTCTTTCCACAGCCTTCATCTTGCATTCCCAGAGGGCAACTGATAATTCATTCCAAGTCACTGTTAAGACAAACATCACGTAGTAGGAGCTGCTGCGACAGGTGCAGTAGGACAGGATCGGGTTGAAGCTGCAGGTGAGGTATCTTATGAAAACTTTCAGTTGGAGCGCTCTCAAGGCCCCACTGAGGGCCCTTCTGACGGCCCCTCTGACGGTTCTTTAGCACCCCCACAAAGCCCAGAAAAGGGAGAATATGAAAGCAATCCCACATCAGACATTTGCAGTCGGCAGCCACACTTGAACGGCTCCATGGTGAGCAGGGCTTAGCCACGGTGTCAGAACACACCGGAACAGACCAGTTCAGCTTTTTAAAAGCTCTTTTAGTGAAAGGCTCTGCTGGGTCCTGATGGCTGGTTTCATCTGTCCCGTTTAACGGTTTCATCCGGACCAAATGCGGAGAAGGAACTTGACGAGAGGAGACACCAGGGGAGAACAATAAAAACCAAGGAGCTTAAATACTGAGGATGACATTGAAACCTGGTGAGTCTAATCTGAGGACTGCAGAGGGAATCGGTGGTGAGAAGGAAGGAGAAGAGGAGAACACAGAGAGAGCAGAGCTAAACACAAAGGGAAAGGTCTGACACGAGCAACGGAAATGCAAAAAGAAAAAGGAGAAAATTTCATCACCAGGGAATGATCTAAACATGGCAAGATCTTAAACCGGATTATAGTCCAGATCTTCATTCATGTCCCAATGGATAATTCAT